CCTACAGAAAGGCCATATTTTCTACTCTGAATCAACAGCGTTATTGAAAGTTTTTCTCTCCCTAACTTTTGAAAAGGTCCACCACACTGCTGTCTGCTTAAACAGATTCATTTAGTCAGTACAATTATTCCAAAGCTCTGAGTGTTCCCATCTGTCCTTGCTGAAGTAGAGTCTCATTGTCCTGTGCTGCTTGCTGTTTGATAAGTGCTAACTAACCTTCCAGGTTTTGTCCAGAAATTGTTTCTTTCTTTTCTTTCTTTTTGAGGAATATCAAGTCATCAAATCTTGTAGGTCTCAGTATTATCCAGTCAACTGCTGAAACTGAAGAACTGGATCAGTAGGGCACTAAATAGACTTGGCCACGTTGAAGGAGAGGGAACTGAAAGCATCATACAGGCTTTAGTCATATTTAGCCCTCATGCCCCTACAACCCTCTGCACAGACTGAATTGCATGTGCATTGCACATGTAAATATCTATAAACCCTTAGTGCAAGAGGTGCTGAAGAAAGCTAGAGGATTTGGTCATATTGCTTATTGAAGTCAGTTTAATAAGCAAAATTACAAATATTTCACTTTAGCAGAGATTTGTAAATGAATGGGCTGTATCCTTGAACTCCCCAGAAAACTGTACATTGGGGACAACAGAGGGATGTGAAATTTAAGGGCATGATTTAGACTCTCAAAACACTAAGTGCTCCAGCAGTTTCAGAGTGCACAGTTTTTTTTATTTATAAATAGAAACCCCCAGCTAAACAAGGCAGTGATTTTTTTCCCCTCTTTCCTCAAACTGTTTTATCATCTAATTTGTTCTTTCTATTTCTCAGTGTTGAAGGGACAATTTTGCTTTAAGTAGTACTAGTGTTAATACTGGGCTATTCCTACTTACTAGGATATTAATACATTAACACTAGGATATTCCTGTAAGCTTCCGAGGGCTCTAAATGAGTTCTTGTTCCTACTTCTCTGGAAATCACTGGGAGTTTTGCCACTGACATCAACAAGAATGAGATTCGTTTGTAGAAGCAAGTTCTGCAAGTTTCCCTCACCAAGTCATAATCCCACACTGTATTTTCAACAAGTCCTCTTATAGAGCTCCAGCCAATACAAGCTGAGACCAGAGTGATGATGATTGTAGAAAATCTTTTAGAGTGTGTACAGAAAGGCCCTTTTATTAAATAATTTGACAATTAACTAGTCCACACATCAATTTCCAGTTAAAGTGCAATTTGTTTAAAAATATATATTTAAACTAAATAGAAGTCCATTTAAAAAAAAATGCAGAATTTTCTTGGAAACCTACTGCAGTAGCCTTTATCTTCTAGTTGTTCTTGAATTTAACTCCAGCAGAAATTAATTAGAGCTTCTGAATAACCCTTTAATTGTTGATGTAGTTAAGCTAGTTTAAAATTTAAAAACAGTGTTAAGGATTGTTTTTCAGCACTACTTCATTCATTTCTGTCGGCTGCATCAGAGAATCAGAAACAATATTTCTGAAAAGACCACATCTTCATTTGTGGACCTATCACTTAATTTGTGGCTTTGGATTTTGTTCTGTTTTTGCTCTCAAGTCTAACAGTAAATATTATAAATGCTGATGGGTAGGACCCCCTCCTCCGTCTAATTTCAGCTGGGCTTAGACCAGTGTTGAAGTTACTTGTGCTAGCTGAGAGAGACAACTCTTTGCCTCTTTTTTTTCCCGTGGATAGCAAATAGGTTCAAATTCCCCATATGTTTTTTCCACTTAGAGTCCGAAGACACAAATAAGAAGAAACTCGTCTTAGGAAACAATGGTGAAAGATTTTTTATTTTTCTTTTAATTTTGAAAGTCTGGAGCTTATTCCAGCTATTTTCTGTGTCCATGAGGGAACCAAGCTTATCTTTGACTTTTAATAGATCTTGAAATATTTAACTACAAACATCTGAACTTTTCCAAGAGTTTATTTTACTTTCATCAAATAAGTATATGAAAGGCAAAATATGTAATTATTTGCTCTAGAATCCATCTACTTAGTCCTCTGTGTTTATTATGAATTGTTTCTTGGCAGGAAAAAAATGTGCAGCTGAGTTACACATAAAAAACCTCTTAGTAGGAAACAGCGATATTTGGTAGTAAGCAGGTATTTACAGATATTAAAAAGCTGCACCGAGAAAGCTGGTTTAATAAGCCCGAGGCATGGGATTTTAGAAGGTTTATGAATTGAACCATATAATTTATTTTTTTAAGTTTTCAGTGTTTCATTGTAGGCTTTAAAATAGCATGCATGCACTATACATAGCAGGAGACTGTGGTCAGTTTCAAAATTATGTATACATATTTTGGTTATTTGACTCTTACATAGCCCCCATCTCTTTGCTGACGGCTTTATGTTTCCACTTGCATTTTTACAGTCAATTTTGGTTTCAGTGTTGTATGTTCACCTCCTGCTGATTTTGCTGGGGTTGCAAATGCATACATCAGAGCAGAAAATATTCCTATGTGTATAATGAGAAAAACTAGTCATTAGTTTGACAAAGCACTTTAGTTTCGGATTTTAGATATAAGCCCTGGGATACAAACTACAGTTTGACTAAAACTGTGACCTTGGGTCCAGTCCTGTGAATCCTGTGAACAAATGTGTATTTCTGTGAGTAGTCCTTTTGAAACAGATAGTGACTTTTGGAAAAGCAAGAGATACCCATGAGTTATACTTTGTAAGAGAGTATAGATGCATGTTGATGTGGTTATGACTATACTTGGTTAACAGAGATGCAACAAAATCTTTTGGATTGCTACAGTTGATGTTGCTAGTCAGGTTGGTTGGTGTTGCTTCTGTAAGAAAGTCTTTATATTGAAGGAAGAGATTGTCTGCACACAGCCACCCATGAATGACTCTTTTTTGGAAGCTGTATTCTCTGACACAATTGTTTTAATTTCAAAGGCAAAACAAACCCTTCAGCAAAATCACTATTAGCCAAAGATAAAATAGTAAGATCAGGGTCATAAGTGATACTCCTTTTGGTATGAACACTGACCACAGTTGTGTGGTTTGCAATGATAATTTTTTTCATGTTCTGATTTACTAAGCATAATGAAGTGCCCATCACCATAGAATTAATAGATTTTTTTAAAAAGCAGCTTCATATGTCTGTAGGTGATGATGTTATTTATGGAGATAGCTATAGACATTTACAATATACTTTTCTCCATGTACTTAAAAACAAACAGAAGCATTGAGAAGCATGACTCAAGTGGGATTGTATGTTCTCCTTCCTCCCCCCGCCACTAAAGTTTGAATACAGGGTGTTACTATAACAGGTCCCCACCTGTTACAATCCTGAAAAGAAACAGCCAGTGCTTTATAAGGAGAACTTTTAGAGTAAACTATATAAATGAAGAAATGTAGATAAACTCCTCTCCCTCTCCTCTTCAACTCTCCCTTTTGTCCTCTTTATCTTCCTTTCTTTTATTCCTCTCTTTCTCTCTCTTTCTTCACCTCTTTCTCTCAGCCTTTCTTTTTTTTTTTTTTTTTTGTTATTCTAATGCTTCAACTCCTGAACAATCTTGCTCTACTTCCGATAATGCTCTTTGGTGACTACCGCGCTGCAGACTCGAGTCTGATACAAGATACATGACTCTATTTATCACTCTCTTTCTTCCCCCCTTTCTCTCCGCCTTTTTTTTTTTTTTTTTTTTTTTCCCTCTTTCCATCTGTCCTTTCTTTTTTCTCTTTCTTTCGCTTCTCTCTTTTTTTCCTTATTCAGTGAAATCTTGTTCTGGTTAGAATATCAAATTGGTGTTGGTGTTTTTGTTTTTGCAGGGAGAGGTTGTTGGAAGGAAGCAGTGGGGAATAGATGGCTTGAAAAACAGTTAGTTTGCATAGTCTTGGGAAGAGACATTCCATGAATAATGCAGAAAATGGAACGATGTGAAACATTTTCAGAAAAAGATTGCTTTGTGGGATAGACAACTTCATTTATTCCAAAGAAAAGGCAACTTGCACATCTTAGCAAATCAGTAGGATTGGCTCAGAAGAATAGGTTAAATTACTTCACCTCTCAGCTGTCTCTGATCTTGGGGGCCCAAGGCACATCAGGCCACACAGAACAATTGGGCAGCCTGACACTAATTTAAAACACAGGCTCAAAGTATTGGTTCACTCCTTAAATCAATTACTACATCTATCTGGAGACTTTTGTTGGTGAGTTTTATACGTGGCAAATAGAGTTAGCAAAAAGGACATACGGTGCACGCCATTCATTTTTTTGTGCTACAGTTACTACGGGTACAACAGTGGGAAAGACAGAAACACATTCCTGTGCGAGCAAAGTTCAAGTGAGAAGAGGGAATACACAGATATTTAAGATAGATCTCGCCTATACTGTGCCTGTTTACTTAAAGCAGTGAAGGCTCAATTCATTGCCCATGAAAACCTTCAGAAGTCTGCCTTTTGAATTCATTGGCTACTGTTTCAAACTCTTCACGCTACTGTGTGTTGAGTGTGGTGGATCATCTTTGAAAAGACACAAAGCAAATCTGTAGGTCTAGGGATTTTGCTCTGAAGACCTAGCTGCCAGCTGAATGCAGGTGATAGTTTCTGGGAACCTGTAGAATTTTTTTAGGTTTTTTTGTTTTAAATATCTGTCTTCTTGAGAGACATTAATACAGTTCACAGAGATTTTATCCCATTTTGTGGCAATGTAACATTTCTACAGCTGCTCTAGTAGCTTCCTACTAGCTGCTCACTTCATCTGCCAGCTCTCTCTGATTGCAGCTCTCCTGTATCTGGGTCATCACCAGGAATTCCCACAAAAGCCCCTATAATATTAGTTAACTGCTGAGGAAGGAATTAGTTCAGTTTAATTGATATAATTTGGAACACAGTTTTGATACATTCAACTTATGTTTTAAAAATGGTCCAGATGCAGCGTATGCAGGTTACTTAAGAGCACTACTGGGATAAAAAAAAAAAAAAAAAAAAAGCCAGCTGCACTGCTTCATGTGTTACTTGTCTCTTCACAGGTGGAGCTTACTGGTAATAGCATTTATGAGTACATACATCCTTCCGATCACGATGAGATGACAGCTGTTCTTACTGCTCACCAGCCTCTTCATCCTCACCTCTTACAAGGTACTTGTGTGGTCTGTGGTCAAACTACCATTGAAAATGGAAAAAAAAAAAAAAAGTAACAACTCTAGGCTGAACTGTAACAAGTTTGTATTTATCTGATATCAAGCTATGTAGATGAATGGAGGAGGATCTTGAACTTGAAACTGTGACCCAGGATTTTGGTTTGTTGTAGTAAAGGGAATAAGGTATCCTAGATTAAATAGCGCTTTTTGTGCCATGAAGTACATGCAGTTTTAAACAGGCTTTTAGATTTTGCCCAGTGGCCATTTATTCTCTTTTATTTTGTCAACACTACTGAGATTGCAGGAATGTTGCAATAATCTAGCTATGCATAGCTGCAGCTCTGCAGTCTTAGCAGGAAAAAAAAAAACACGTTAAATTTGAAGCTTGGACAAAAAGCCAGACCTAATGCCCTCCATTGTAGGAAGAGCCAAAATGGGTTTTGTAAATTACTTGCATTCAGAAACTCTCATTAAAAAAGTGATCTCTCCAGGAAAATAATGTCCTTTTGCCTTGATACCGGATCACTGATTCACCAAGCCTCTCCACACATCCTGTTCAGGTGCTGCAGATGATTCACCCTCGTGTACCCATACAGTATGATGCTAAGCTGGATGGAATGTCAGGGAAGACAGCAGAACTCTTATTGATTATGTGAACGCCTGGATCAGACTGTCCACTCTGGCTGTGCTCAAACACCACACATAAATATTAACATAACCCTTTGCGTATTAAGCTGTTACTTCAGTGTTGTAACTCCGATATAACTAGCAAAGATATGCTCATCTTTGCACTACCTTCTTCAGTAGCTTTTGTTTCCTTGGGGGCAATTCTTTGAACTTTAAAATATCAGAAATAATCTGGCTCCATCACGTACAATGTACTTCCACATATATTTCGTAATTGCTTAATTAGTTGGAGCTCATATCCTACTAGTTTTTACTGGACTTCTTAAGACATAGCTCCTAAAAGCATGGGGCGCTTGGGGTTTGCACTGCATTTCTGTTTAGGATCTTGGATTTTTTTCAGTTCTGGTGCCTGAGCATTTTCGGTATTTGGTGATGTCATCACAATTCTGACTGCTGTGATCTGTCAGCACAGAACCATGCACCTTCTGCATGCAGGGAAGTTTAATGTGCCTGAAAGCATATGTACTGCTCTGAGTGGAAGAATTATCTTAGCTTCCTTCTCTCTTCTTCCTCCCCAAACAAGTTTTCTTGTGTACCCCTTTGTATCTTGAAAACCAAACTCTTATTTTCTTGGACTTTTCTGATTCTAGTTGTTACTAGTTTGGTCATTCCTTTGTCAGGGATTTTTTTTTAAATGCAGACATTTTTTAAAAAGCAATGTTTATTCCTTTTTCCTACCTTACTGATAAGCAGAGGGGATACCTCTGGTATAAATCCATGATTTTCATTCAGTTCTGCTGGTATCCAGAATTGGTAGTAAGACATTATTATACCTGTTGTCTTGCCAATGGCAATAGCCTCCTGTTTTTGTTACAATATATGTTTTTTAAGTTTGTTAATTGGAGATTTTTACAAATTTGAAGTAATGGGCAACTGATTTGAACTAATTTCTACGTTAAATGCTCTTTCTGTTCTGTATTTAGTATCATGACTCTGGTTTACTAGAAGCAGTGAGACAGCACACTAGTACTGCAGTTCCAGAAGGTTGGGGGGTTTTGTTCAGAACTAGGTAGTGCCTATTTCTTGCTTATATTTGGATGTCTCTGGATGCTTAACTTGCCTGTTAACATTTGTTTTCAGAAACAATCAGGTCCCTCTCATTTTGATTATTTATGGTCAAATTATCTGTTTCCTTAACAAATTCTCCTCACTGCAAGGTGTAACTTTCTGTTCTGATTGTGTTTGAAAAGACTTTACACACAATTTAAACTGTTAATTTCCATTTACTTGCAACTGTTTCAATCTGAAATTCTGCTGATGGCAGAATTAGCCTCTGGTATATGCCTCATTATCTGTGGTGTTCTTTGCCTCATTCTACATAGAAACTGTTTGTTATTAGCATTAAGCTCTGGTTTCTCAATAGTGCAAAGGCAAAGGAAAGTTTAATTTGAAATGCGATGCATTAATATATGTTTTGTGTAAAATGTTATGTAGCAGAGAAAATTGATAAAAAACTCTAAACAACAGCATCTTATTTGAATTCCTAGACTTGGAGAGATAAATAAAGGAGTTAAGCTGTATTCTGGTTTGTATAGGGATTATTTTATGCAAATCTTACTTCTGTGTGTCTCTTCCCCATACAATGCATGGAGCGAGTGTATTAAAATATCCAGAATCTATAGCTAAGTCTTTTTAAAATGATCACAGTAACCAAATATTTATTTATATTTGTCTTCCCCATGCCAGTAGTTCCCTTTTCTGCAGTGTATACATTTAATCTTGAGGTATAACCTGAAATTACCTGGCCCACGCAAATCAAAGCAGGTTTCCTATTTTTCTTCAGTGAAGCCCTGAAGCCTATTTTATAAATAACAGGAATGAAGCAACATCTCTCTGCATCTTAGTACATATTTTGAATATTTAAATAAAATACGGAGTTCTACAAGTAACTTAGGACAGAGGGAAGTTGAGTGAAAGTAGCTTTATTTTCTAGTAAGAAGGAAAACAGACTTTTAAAGAGTTTGGTGCGTTTTTTTCATTTCAGTTTGATTTTATCTCCTTTAATCTTTTAAAACCCATCTGAATCAGCAAGTCACTGGGTCGAATAAAAACTTTCCTTTTATAACTTTATTGCATTCTAGATCTTTCCAATCTGTAGTATTACTCAGGAGTAAAATCAATATTGTACTGCAGGCACAGATGTTCATAACACAAATTTACAGCTTGGCTCATATAACTTTACTTTTTCAAGATGTGTTCTTCAGCTAATTCTCAGATATGTATATACATTTTCAGTTCAGTTGCCATTTCAGCATTTTTAGCTGGATAAGATCTGTCACGATAGAAATTAAATCACAAATGTGAACATACATATCTATACTTTGTGGTATTCTGTTACTGTATTGAATAACCCAGAGTACAGATTATTTTTAACCTGCAGTTTTACAGTCTTTGTAAATTTTGATGGTATCCCTTTATTTGTTTCTTTGTTTGCTTTTAATTGTCCTTAGTGTCCTTCATTATTCTCTTCAAACTTCCCCTTGTATTTCCAGTGCTTCATCAGTTCCATAGAAGCTTTTCTGAAAGACCAAACAACATGAGAATAGTAGAAGCCTTGCAGCTGTTGAGCTCTAGGAATCTTATTTGCATAAGTTTTATTTCTCAGGGAAATACAAATTGTTGTTCACTGCATAAAATCAGATATAGTGTAGATTTCTTTATATAAGGCTTACTGGCACATTGTTTTCCTTCAGATATCTCAGCCTGGTACTCAAAAAATGATGTATTAGTTTAAAAGGCATAAGCCTTTTTAAATTATAAGTTTTTAATTTTTTTAAGTTTACCCTGAACTTCCTAATGTTTCAGGTATGACAAGGCACATCTTCAAACCCAGAGGGTAGATTTTTTCTTTCTTTTTTTTTTTTTAAAGATAGTGAAAATTATTGAATAATCACATGCTTTCAGAATCTGGGGCTTCATAGCAATATTAAATGTAATTACACTTAGGAAAATGGATGTTGGTGGACTCGTTGATCAATGTGGCATTACAGCAAGTTAAGTGAAATGGACACTGGATTTTTTTGTACAACTGTTTTCCACTTTAAAAAAAAAAGGCAGATTGGAGAAAGTACAGAAGAGAGCCACAAAAATGATTGAAGGACTGGAAAGGCTTATAATGAGAGATAAAAGAACACCATCTGTTTGCTTTATCAAAAAGAAGATTGGGAGGTGACTTTTGATTACTGTGTGTGCATACTTCCAAGGGAAGAAAATACTGGGAACTGAAGGACTGTTTTAGGAGAAAAAGCATATCAAGGACCGATGTCTGTGAACTGAAACCACAAAAGCTCAAATTAGAATAATACATACATTTATAACTAGGAGTTTGATTAACCACAGGAACAAAATACTGAGGGAAGCAGTGGTTTCTTCCTCTTTTGATGTCTTCAGATCAAGGCTGTATGCCTTTATAGAAGATACGCTTTAGGCAAACAGAAGTTACTGAGCTCAGCACAGGAGTAACTGAAGTTTAATGAACCGCAATGTACAGGTTAGACCTATGATCTAATGCTCCTTTCTGGCCTTTAAAGTCTGTAAGCTATGACTCAATGAAAGCCATAAGCCCCATGATCTGTGGAGGCTTTGGAGAATTTCAGCTTTAACTTACAAAGTCTTTAAGATGCCTTTTACTTGCACGACCAGCGTTGAAAATGTAAAGTAATATGTTCTGATCCCTTGCTATGAAAGAAGCCAACAGCTGGACTCTCTTTCTGAGGGTGGTTGGGGTGGCAAAAAATAATAATCTCTCTCACATACACATTGAAGGTAGTATATGCCTTAGTGAATAACCTCACATGAGTCTTTAGGCCAATTTTGCACCAGTTGTAACAAAATTAGTCCATTATACTCAATTGGGATGGGTTAACAGAAAAAGGGAAAAAAAAAAAAGAGTAAATTGATATCTTTTCCACATAATGTGTACTGACTGTGCTTAGATCTCAGATGACTTCACTGGTCCTTCATGCCTTTCCAAATATTGCTTAATGTATTTCTGATCTGCAGCATTTTCCTATGTTCTGGCTTAGTTTTGTACCTGTGAAGACACCTCAGTTTTGCACTCTCTATACCACCTGTATCTGTGGCATAGCCTGGTATCAAGATTCTGGGGCCTCTATCCTAAAATATGCAACACTTAGCTAACAGGAACCTAGGAACTGTTTCATGGTAGAAGGCTGAGAAAGTGATTTCTTAGCATGTAAAGAAGTGGGTTTGATGTATGCTGTCTTTCCTTGAGCACTTACAGCTCTGAAAGATTTTCTTTTCTTTTTCTTCAAGTAGTGGAACTAACAAACAGGGTCCACTGGGTGAGAT